AGAGAGACCTAGTGCGATTTTTCCCATATTTCTTTGTTGCCACCCTATTACGCAAAATATACGCGCACTGACATTCGCATGCCGAATACACGCAATATATCGGTTAATGGAAAATAATAAAAATTATTTATAAATGAATTAATTTAGACGAGTATGGATTTTTCTTGTACAAAAGTTTGCGGACTTTTGCGCTTACAAGGATTTTTTTTTTTTTTAATAAAACAATTCGATGGTTACTTTTTGCAAATGAAATCTAATCTATTCAGGTATTAAAGAGTGAACTGATAACGTCTTTTCTATTTTGGAAACGCGATTGCGGTACTGCTCTAGCTTTTAGTTGCATTCGATAAATTAAAAAAAAAAAAAAAAAAAAACACGTACTTTGGCTGACAGATTACTATTGGTTAGTGAAGGGTCGAGTAACGCCTCTCAATCCGTTCAGTTGTATCCCTTGGCTTTCTTTTCCTTTTCTTGTTGCTATGGGTTTTTTAATTTCTTTTTCTTACTATGCAAAAAATGCTCTGCCGATATAAACTTGATGAGGGCAAACTCTTATTTGTCTGACGGTGAACCAGTAGCTGCTAAAATTCAAGCGCAAACAGTAGCCTAATAAAAAAGAAAGAGAAAGAGAAGCTTGCCCCAATGAACATATACGAAACCATACATACAATAACACAGAACGCACACATATTTAAGTTTGATAATATTAAGGCATAGGGCACATGCTAAAGCACAAACAAAATGAAGTCTTCTTACGGCTTACATAGCAATAGTAACTGTTTTTATTTTATTTCGAAATTTTTGTGTTCGTGTTGGTGTGGTTTTTGAAGGTAAGAATCATCTAATTAATATGTAGATGTTGAGTTGGGGCGCGTACAAATTCGCACACGCATACATATAAAATTACATATATACACATATATATATATATATATATATACATGTACCCTCTCTTACGGTAGCCTTTTATTTGGACATAATTACTAACACTCCTTAGAGCGAGATTTTGGCATAAGTTGCCGCCTATTTTGCCTTTTTTTTGTTCTGCTCTACTCTACGAAAAAGGCCTAAAAACGTCTCACATCACATACAACTCAAATTGAGTCGGAAAATATCTCTCTATCTTTACGTATACATACACACACGCACTGAAAACTCTAAAACTCTCTACTAAATAACTTGAATGAATAATGAATGAAGGCTGAGTTTGAAGCTAAATATGTATCATAGGCTTATAGAGAGAAAAAGACAAACAATGGTTAAGGTGTCAACGTTCCGTTTCACTTTGCTGTGAAGTTGAAACCATGAATGTAAACACACCCGTGAGAGGATGGCTAGCTACAACGCGCCGTAGTAGTAGTGAAAGATATTTTTCCTTTTTTGTTTTTTTTTTGTTTTTTTTTTTTTATATTGTGTGTGCTTTGTTTTTGAGTATCGGATACGACTTAATGTTAAACACAGCTCATATAGTTACATATATACAGTCAAATGCATGAAGCAAGTGAAGCGAGACCTATTATTTAATCCAACCATAGCATAGAATAGTGCAGAGCAGTGCAGACAACAAAGTCTCGGTGTACGAAAAAAAAAAAAAAAAAAAAAAAATCAAATATATTGAAAAATAAAACAAAATCCAAAAGGTAATCAGAAAACGACGGCGCAAAAGAAGTGATCAGCGCGATTAAGACTAAAACGAAAAAAAAAAAAAACAATAATAGTAGCAACAACAACAACAAAATTGTAAACGTTAAGACAAGTAAGTTGTTATATGAATGTGTGTTTAGTACACGACGCGAAACAGAAACAGTAACAGTAACTGAAAACAGTAACAGCCCGTTTTGTGATCATTCATTTGCGCGTTCGCTCGTTCGTTATACGGAGAAGCAGAAGCCGCTCAACACGGGCAGCCGTTAAGTTGAAATTTCGATCGTAACTTTGCAGTTGACTGTTGCGCACGGAAGCGTTCGGAAGTGGAATATATTTTATTAATAATATAAAAGCTGTTGTAGTAGGAATCCAATACCAGGCACTATTATCATCTTAAACCACAAAACGCCAAAAGTAAAAAAGAAGGAAAGCCAGCATTATTACAAACTTCAGAAGCTTACCAGCTTAGTTCGTTACCAAGCACGCAGCCAATATCACGCACAACCGAAAGCAAACGCTTAAACGTTCCGTATAAACATTTTGCAGCAAAATTTTAAATATTAAAATTTTAATTAAAATTCGTATTTTAAAATAATTAATAGATTTATATTAAAAACGGGCTTCAGTGTTATTACTAAAGTAATTACATTTATCACTAAAAAAAGCATTAAAAACTTCCTCGTATTACTTTTCAAAAAAAGTCAAACTGCATGACAGGTAAGTTTTATAAAAATCATTTTAATTATAAAACATTAATTATAAAAAACATTAAGTTAAAGTTTGATGTCGCAAAGTGCTGGACTTTCGCTACGAATTAATTTCATCAAGAAATTCTTACAGTGTAGCGCAGCATATTTGTTCTTACTCTCTCTCGTTATTAGCCGATCGTTGTTTTGTTAAGTAATATGCTCGACTTAAATCTTAAACTTCGTAACACTTTGGCTTCGGCTACTGGTCTTAAGCACCACCCTCTTTGTTGCCTTCAACGTGTGTTGATTGGATTGTTTTTCTTGCCTTTTTTCATTTTTTTTCATTTTCTGTTTGCTCTTCATATACAAATTAAATTCTCATTCTCAAAGAAATTTCCATATTGATCTCGAGCTGCTTTAACGATATTTGGCGTTCAATGCAGATGATGAGTAATTTATTTTACTCTTTCTTTTTTCTCATTTTTTTTTTTTTTTAGTTTAATTTGCTTGCATTTATTGATGTTTTATTGTTTGTTATTTATAACACAGGTTGCGGTTAAGTCGTTGTGCTGACTTTGCTTTGTACTTTACTTACATGTATTCTTAAGTGCATCTTATTTACACATCTACCTGTTTGTCTGTTAGTGGTTTAATTTTTTTTTTCCCACCTGACACTCGCTAAAATAAATATTAATGTCATGCTTTTGTCAGTTGTTTTTAGGCAGCCGTTAAGTTAACATCATCATCATTATTATTACTATCATATATGTAGAGTGAAATTCAATATAAAGTTTAGTTTATCAAAACAAAAATATTCGAATAAAGTGCTCTGCACAGTGCTAGCAGTCAGCAGTGTTAATCGAAAATTCTTTTCAATGTTTATTTCCTTTTTGTTTGCTTGGGGTAAGTGTTGCTGTCCTGTGTGTTCATTTTTTTTCATAAAATCCTCCTATCAAGTGCATGCTATGGATATATGCGCTCTTCCTTTCACTCCTAAGCTTTTTTCTATATACATGCTCGGTAAAAAAACAAAAAAAACAAAAAAAATGTAAATGTATTGCTTCGCGTAAACAGTAGCCGTAGCCATATTATTAGTGCCACACTTCAAGGAATTTACACACGTACATGAAAGTGTTGTTGTATTGGCAGCCACTCTCTTCTCTTTGTAAATGTTCTCATTGACTTTAGTTTTAATTGTTGTTGTCGTCGTTTGTGTTTTGTATTCATGTTTTTCTTTCTTGTTAAGCCACCAGTTTTACGCGTTTTGATTGGCTTCAGTGTACACATGATTTTCTTTACTCTTGTTTGTTTTTCTTTTTTTATTTTTTTTTCATTTTTATTTTAAAGTCAGCTGCTTATATGTGAACAGGCGATATGCGGGCAGCCATTTATCGACGGCACGTTGATAAAAAGAATAGAATTCTAAATATACAGACGTGAGAGATTGTGTTGTTTAGTGGACATGTGTAAAATCAGCGAAAAAAATCATTCGATATTAATTTTAAGTGAACACGAAGTATTTTAAAATGATAGGCGTCTGTGTTGACATTTCATATCTTCTCTGCAGATTACACAAGTTGAATAGAATATTGAAATAATAGTGACATTCTCAAAACTTAAGCGGAGTTCTTCCTGAAACTTTTGCCTTTTGGTATAGTCCTGTGTGGCAATTAATTTGCCTACGGGTAAATGAAAAATTTCTGTCCGCTGTTACTCTCTGCTTGTTGTTGTCATGTAAAAATAGTTGAATAATTTATTGCCCGTTAATTAATTTCTTTTAGAAATAACCCAATAATTTTCCTTTAGTGCATTACATAGAAACTTATGATCTAAGGTAACTTGAATAGCAGAAAGGCCGGCGGGGATCCTTGAAAGGTTGATGTGAAAAGCTTTATATTATTAGCTTGTTGCTCGATTTGAAGACTCATTCATTGTAAAGCGGTAGCAGGACAAAGTTAGAAATTCTTATCAGTGCAGTTCCAATGGGAATCAATTAAACCTTGAATGTCAACATTTGGCTATTAAAACTATTACATCAAAGCCGCCTCATTCATTTTTTTATTTTAACAATCACGTAGCTACAAGACTTTCGAATCCCTTACGGATTAATTACTATATTGTTCATTAAATAAGTTGCTTTGCGCAATTGTGTGGTATTTCGATAATTGAAATTGTTTTGGAAACATGGTGCAGGTAAGGTTGGTTCAATTTTGAAATGCTTTACAAATGTTATTCAAACTTTTTTGAATGTCCTTAAATGATTGGAAAGATATTTCATAAATACATTTAACATATGAAACATACGATGAAGCGATATAACGGCGTTAGCCGTGCTTAGGTGTAATTGTACTTTTTTGAATATTTTTTGAATCATTAATGAATGGATGAAAATACAAGTCGTTTAATTCGTAAAACAGAATATTTTCTTTAATGAAAGCAAAAAAATTGTTTTAGTGAACTGATTACTTAAAATATTTAACCCAATCAGCAATGGTTGCAAGAGAAGCACTGATTTAATTTATTTTTGGTTCAATTTTATTTGTTTAAATACTATTTTGATGTTATAATTCTATATTTTTACTTCAAGTTACTCTTGCAAGCTTGACTATAAACCCAATTTTGAGAATAATGTTGAAAAGCTTCTATACATATTAAAAACCTTATGGGCTATTTGTAACCTCCTTAAGAACATAATTCAAAGTTAAGGCAACTTTATGCCCGTAGCAGAATTCAAATCAAATGCGTAGAAAAGTGATAAATGATTCATTCATTGATAGAACGAACGATAGAGCGATTTACTTATGCTTACTTGAAATTAAATGATGGAAAAATTTATTGCTTTCATTAAAAAAATTCTTCAAAAATTAATTTACGTTTATTGTACAATTGAGATTCTCACACAAATCACCTAACATCCAATCAATTTATTTATTTAGTTTTATTTTTTTCTCACCATATATTCATTTATATGGGACTCTTTAGGAAGCTATCTTTCGAATTTGTTGTTTTGGTAATAAATATAAAACACTTAAAAACAAAAAGAAGCATAAAATGTTTCATTATTTCATTAACAAAAACGCATTTAAACTGTGAAGCCACTGACCGCCTCCTCATGGCTGCCTGTGTAATCAAGAATGTCCTTTACTTTCAGTTCGATTTAAAGACGGTATCCTTTTCGATTTCTCTTTGATTGCATTGTTGAATTGTTGAGTCCATTTGATGGGAAAAGAAGGAATGATAGAAGAGAGCATAAGGGAACCTAGCATGTGGTCTTACTTAATAAACTGAATTGTATTTAATTGTTTTTTAATGGAATTTTCTAGGAATTATGATGGGTTATAAAGAAAAAGAGACAAAGGGAGAGAAAAAAGGAGTAAAAAAAAAAAAAATGATTTTTAAAATTTCTTTCTTTAAAAAGAAGAAAAAAAAAAAAAAAAACATACTTAACGC